TGTAAATTCTGAGATTTTTCCTTAATGTATGCAAAATCATAATAGTGAGTGTATCCGTGGAAACAAATCTATGCTGCTGACATTGGAGAGAAGATAGCCCTTTTGCGAGTCTCCTACCAATTGTGCCTTCTCTGCAAGAATCTCTCTTGGTTTTCTTTGTGTATTAATAGGCTGGGAAAAAATGAAGGCTTTTATTTAAGGTTAACATAAACATATTGAAGTGCTTATCTTTACAAATTAATGTGAAAAGGAATGTGAAGTGTTTGAAAACTTGTTCTTTGCTACCTGAGCCTGCCGGCTGAGGCAGAGGAAATGCTGATTAGGGTTTCAATTATCACAATGATTTTTCTAAAAAATAGAAGATGAAAAATGTATGGCAGTGGTTAAAATGTGGATTAAAAGGTGAACCACTGCTCTGCCCAATGGTCGACAGGGATTCTCAAAGCTGGCTTATTTAACAAAGACATTTCAAGTACAACTTCTGAGCATGAAAATATAGAAACTGTCAATGGGTGTGACCAGATTGTAGCAGAACTAAAATGTGGGAGTTGAGAAGAGTTGATTTTATTGACAAGTAAATTTTGAAAACTTATTTTAACTGCATGTGACAAAAGCCCATGTAATCTATTAGTTTTTTTCCCTTCACACAGGTCCTTCAGGAACTGAGAATGTGGCTCAGTGGTAGCTCAGTGGTAACTAACTTCAGTGTAGCTCAGTGGTAATGCACTTGCCTAACACGCATGGGGCCCTGCACTTGATGTCCCTTCCCACAGAGAAGAAGCCATTTGGCTATGCTTTCTCCAGAAATAAAAAAGAAAGCCTTAAAAGATTTTATATGACATAAGTTCTTTGATCTTAAGATTTCTACCGTCAGTTATCTGAAACAGTTAAGTTCATCTCTTTAGCAACGTTCTGCTCATTTTACCTCAGTGACTGTTTGTAAATTTTGCAAAACAAACATAACAGCAATTTCATTTCCATGCCCATTTTTCTGTGGGCCCAGATCCAAAATATGGTGAGAAATCACCATGATGTAAATTCGAGTGAGCTCAAGTTTATGAAATAAGCAAATTCGGCTCAGCTGTGATTAAATAAGAACACAGAAATACCATTTTTTCCTGATAGCCAGTGATTCAAATACAGTATTAAAATTTTTCATTAATTCATGTAACCTATCTGCTGGTCGTTTTCTAAGTGGTTGCTATAATCAGTGAACAAAGCAGACAAAATTCCTGTTGGTTTATGATTCAAAATTTTTGAGTTAAAATCCTTCCAATTTAAAAAATTTTCTCTTTCAATGGTCTATTTTAGATACTGCCAGACACCCATGGGTGGCTATTGCTTTTCTCTACCAGTAGAAAGGACTTCCTGGCAACACCGCTGTTGATGGTCTCCGACTTCTCCCAGTACCTAGGCGGGTTAATTGAGGCTTGGGGGTTCCTTGGGATGAGTGTGAAATATGTGAGTCGATGGACCAGGGTGACCTCCAGTGATACAGGTCTGTCTGAGGGAGCCGTGTGTGCCTCACAGAGTGGGGGAGCCCTGTAACCAGGAAGTTTCTATTCCCAGACCCTGGCCTTTGCTGCTGAGCAGCACCGAGTCCACCCAGGAAACCCTTGCTCTTGGGATCCCTTTCCTGGGCTCTGTGCAGCCCGTCTCCCTTTGCAGACAGGGCTCAGACTAAGTGATTACATCTCACCCTCCTTACTGACATCATGTTGTATATTGTTCCTTGGCTGCATTCAACTCTCACCAAAACAATATAGATGTTTCCTAGGTTCAACTACCTCACATAATTTTGTGTCATTTCTTAAGTTCTAAGAAATGGTCTTTCTATTTAATTATAAGTCTATTTTAAATCCTTGCTGCAGAAAAATATAACTTTTAATGTCTAGGCATCTAATGTTGCTTTTAGCATCCAACATATGAAGTTATGGATGGCTTATTTTGTTATATTAGTGAAGTTTTAGGTTCTGGAGATAGAGTCAGAGGAAAGTAGCAATAAATGTGGAGAGAGAAGAGAGGGCTCATCCCCTGAAACATCTGTGTATCTTTTTCAGCCCCTTGAGTGAGCTCCTCTGCTGGCGTCCTGTCCCTCGTAGTTCCTGAAAATACCCAAGGTCAGCCTGCCACTGAGAGGGTCCTGGGTGCCCTGTCCAGTGCTGCTTGATGAAGCAATCCCCTTGAGGATGGCCACCCGTGTGACTCCCATCCCCTAGTCCTTGCTGTGCTTTTCCCAGGCCCTGATTGGATGGAAGCTTGTTCTTGCTTTTGCTGAACGTGATACCTCATCAATTCTTTGGGGCTTTCTGGAAAGGCAATGTGGCCGGCCAACTTGCTTTTGAACAAAGTGGTATACCAGGTTCAGCTCCTTCTCTTAGTCTGAGCTTTCCCAGGAAAAGTCTTTATTCTCAAAGATGTGACTCCCACATTTTAACAGAGACTACTGTCCCTTATTATTCCTGTAGGTACCGTTCTTTAAAAAACACCGTGGCTTCTCTGGCTTTCATTACAAATTAACAGTTTCACTCCAGATAACATTAACTCAGACAACCCTTTACTGGGTTCATTTTAAACCCCAAATTTCAAGCAAATAAAAATATATTACTCAGGCTTGATCAAGTGGTGTTAAGATTGACCAGCATTAGGTAGAAAAAAAATTTGCAGATCTCAAATAGCTAGATTAAACTTGTTTAGTGACTCTTATAACATTGACACACGAATAAGTAATTTAATTGGAATATGGAGCTTGATGGCAGAGCACAATTAAACCAGAGTGAGAGTTGAACTTGAAATAACTGCTTGCTTGCTATGCTTAAAATGTGTGCCTACAAAATTCACATAGCAACTTAATCTCCACTGCAAGAATACTAAGAGCTGGGGTCTTAGAACATTAGATTACGAGGCCCCTCCCTCACGAGCAGGATTTGAGGCCCTCCTATAAAAGACTACACACCGCTCAGCTGCTTTTGGCTGTTCTGTCTTTCTGCCATGTAAGGATGCAGAGTTTGCCCTTCTGCTATGTGAGGGCATGGCAGTAAGGCACCATCCTGGATGCAAAGAATGGTCCTCGATCTTACACTTCCCAGCCTCCAGAACAATAAAAGACCAACTGCTGTTCTTTATAAGTTCCCAGGTCAGGTATATTCTTATAGCAGCACAAACAAAGAGAGTGCTTCACGTGGAAGGCTCTCATTATCCTGCAGTGCATGGCAGTTACATAGTGTGGAACTTCCTGTGACTCTTTTGGACCGAGGAGGTCAGGATTTAGTGGATGCTGTATAGATTGCATGGCTTCTTATTGATTTCACCTGTAACATCATAGCCTATGTACACAACTTAAAAAAAATCAGAGGATAGGCACTGAAAGTGGGAAAGATTTTTCTAAAGCCAGCTTTGTTTACTTCTTGAATTTGTCAAAACCATATAAATGATGAGTGATGATTTTTGATTAAGATCATAGAATCAAAAGAAACTGAATAAAATAATTCCAGTGTCATGTATAAAATGTAACTGAACAAAAGTGGAAAAATAAGTGTTTGCCCTTTTTCTTCTTCTCTTTCAAGGGGAAAAGATGGGGAAAAGCCTAAACCAGCAGTCTGGAGAGCCACTTATTTCTACCGATTACCTCCAAAAATATTTATTCTCATTACCATTTTGACTATTTAATTTTTCTTTTGTAATAAGAAATCACAGAGCCTACCTTGACATTTGCTGTAAGAAACACAAGTCACAGAATATGAATGTGCTGCGCAGGCTTGCAAGGTTGCACATGGAATTCATACGGGGAAGGAGGACACAGGAGTAGAGGCTGGGCTCGGATACCATCCTTGTAACGGTGACAGCCACCCAAGACGAGTCTCAGGCTCCCTGCCTTTAAACGAGATTGTTAGCCAGGCCCGCTGGGACAAACCTGTAATCTCAATCGGTCAGGAGGCTGACGTGGGAGGATTCCATGAGCAAGGCCAGTCTGTGGAACTTAGTGTGACCCTTTCTCAGACTAAGTAATAAAAAAAGGCTGAGGATGTAGCTCAGCAGCAGAGTGGCCCTGGATTCAATTCCTGAGTACTGTAGAAACAGACAAAACCAAACACACACAGCCAGATTGTTCCCTGAGTGACTTCTAAGGTCCTTCCAGATCCGGACTCTTCCCTAATCTCTGCTCCCCAAAGTTTCATACTATTTTCTGGAGTTTCCGTTTTCCTTTCTTTTTTCTTTCCTTCTTTTTTTTTAGAATTTGCAAATCTAACTCATTGGATTCATGAGATGGTTGAAATATGGATTCAATTTTAAGTCTTGTGATCTTCCACAGAAACAAAAATGATTTCTTATGATAAGAAAAATTTATATATCAAAAATAACTGAGTAGCTGTCATCTTTGGGACTTGCCTGAAGGACTCTTTCTCTGATTTTTAAACATTTCTTGGCATGATGAAGCCCATTTTTTGAAGAAGCATATTTTCTAAGTGAGATGAATAAAATATAGTTTTAAATTCTTTCATCTTTTTGGGGGGGGCGGGTACCAGGAATTGAGTTCAGGACCTTTCGTTTGCCAGTCAGTTGCAGTGCCACTGAGGTAAATCCCAGGCCCTTAAATTCTGATAAAGGGATTCGCCATTTAAGAAAAACATGTAGAATTCAAAGCAAAATAATATTACAGTAGTAATTTGAGTCTTCCTAGAATATTTAACCAATTTCATCACATAAATGCAAATTTCAGAAGGGAACATTCCTTTCAGAGAGACTTTTATCAAATTTATTTGGCGGCTAAATGGACACAGAGTGGCTATCATTGTGTGAGAAACTACATGGGCTTGTGTGTGGTTAGGAGCAGGGAATCAGGCAGGTTTGGCTTAAATTCTACTATTTCAAGGTATTTTTGGAGGAGGTACATTTGAAGTACTTGGATTGAGACTTCTTAAGACTCTCAGCTTTACTAGAATACAGTGTACAAAAGGAGGAAAATAAAAATATTCTCAATGTAATCACATACCACAGTGGATGTTTCCAAACTTATTTTATTAAACTTCCAAGGACTGAAGGAGATTTCAATATCAAGTAACTGTTTTCAGCAAGTGTGCCTAAAAATAATTTTACAGATCTTTTTAGGGAAGCAGACACTTTTATAGGTCCAGATGATGTAGTCCCTGGTTCAATCACTGCTATTGAAGTAAATCGTGTTTTAGGGAAGTATCAGCCAAATGAAATATCAGCTTCACTGCCTCTATATAAAGACAAATGGAACTGCATGTACTTTTTAAAATGGTGAACTATACAGAACATCATCCACATTTCTATATTTGGCTCTGGGATATAAGGCATTATCTAGAATTTCTGTGCGAGAGGGCTGTGCACACATCACAAACACAGAGGCTCAAATACCTTTCTCTGTTCCATTCTTACTCTTTCAGTTCAGTTGATGGTATCAGTAATTCTTTGTGAAATAATGTAAGACTGTCCTCCCAAAATTCTTCTAGGGAAAACATCTACACACAGGAGTACTTAAATGGTTTTATAAACATCAATAAATCCCATAAGTCCAGCAGCGACTGGATCACGAAGGGTATGCATGGGGAAGAAAATGCTCATCTCAAGTAGAAAATCGATGAGTTAAAAATCACAATACATTGAAAATGTTTTCAAGGAGAATTTCTCTATACCTCATAGGGTTTTCCATTACAAAATTAGAAAATATTTTAAAAGAGAACACAGAATTAGTTTCTTCAGTTTTACGTTCAGGGGGTTGGACTAGATGCTAATTATCTTTTCAGCTCCAGTATTCTACAATTTTAGTCAACATAAGATGTTAAAATGGTCCCACTGGTTCATTTGGATGACAAAAGAAAAGGGGCTTAAAATTGTAAGGATTGGCAAAATAAGTATCCGTTTAGGGATCACAAAGGTGACCCAAGACCACCCATTGATTCAGGTATCAGTGTCATTGCTTCTAAATCTGTCTGCTCATCGAATATTTTGCATTGCCTTGTTTTGTTTGCTTTTATTAAAGACACCCAGGATCTCAGTCCCTACTCTTGGAAATGTTGCTTTAGCAATTATGGGGACGAGGTCAGGAATTTCATCTTCTACAAAAGAGATCCTCAGGACTGGGGTGTGCAGGTAAAGGTAGGGACAGAGATCATATCCGACTGCCTGGGACACAGGATGGAGGAAGAGGCACCTCGCACAGTCCTTGGGTGCCACTGCTGGCAGCCGCATTTCCCTACCTGGTCCATCTCCCCAGGCCCCAGGTATCACCTTCCCAGGGTTTTTCTCCCCTCTAGTGGAAAAAGCACATAATCCGAACGATATCATGTTGTGTCTAGGTTACTTTTCTTGATAGATTTTCTGTAGAAGAAGCTATCCCTTGAAGGAAACAAGAGTTAGAAGAATGGGTCTGAAGCCCTTATTTACCATCCAATCCAAACTCACAGTCTAGAAATTTAATTCGGTTTAACTCCTAGAATTCTTATTGTAAAGCATGAATTAAGCCATCATCATGCTATAGTCTTGAGCTTTTTAGGGCTACCTGCAATTTGCAAATTGTTTACTTTACCTCAAGGCAGTATATACTAAGGTGAATTCCTGTAAGTTGTTATAATACCATAAGGGGAATGCTTTTCCTTACGTTTGATGTAAGAATTTCTTAAGTTTTTTGGTAGAAAAAAAAAGCCTAAATATAGTTAATGTGTAACTAATACCATAACAAAATTTGTTTTAAATGGAGACAGTAGAGAAAAAGTTGCTTCTAAGATCCTCCATGTAAAATTCCAAGGCCTTCAACATTCCTATTTATATCAGTTCTCAAGATAAATTTTATTCATTCACTGTATGCAAATTGTAGCCAAGGTACACATCTCTGTTCCTTATGCTGTTATGGGTGCCAAAGTTTAGTTTAAGGCTCTTTTTGATAGCACACCACAAGAAATATACTGTAATCCAGAGTTCTGAATGAAATATTATTCTTAATCTTTCTTGTTAATAAAAAAAAGTAAATTAGTTCTTCTGCTAGTTTAGGGAAAAGGTTAACACAGGGAAGAAAGAATGACTTACCTTTAAATATGTATGACTCCAGAAAAAGTAGCTAAACTAAAAGCTTACTACAATTTTAACAAAAAAGGAAAATTCAACATGACTTAACCTTTTTGCATCTCGTTTAAGGAATGTCCTTTACTGAGGTTGACAAAATAAATTCATTATTTAGTCCTGTTGTTCATAAGGCAGTCTCATGACACTGGCTCAGCAAATTAAGTATACAGGTAAAGCCATTCGAGACCACTGTATGATATACAAAAGCATTTATCAACATTTTATGCTTCCTTGAGAAGGCTGACCTGTTCAACCTGTGGCTCTTATTTAAAAGAATAACAAGAAAATCAATGGCCTTAGTTTATCTTTATAAATAGGTTAAGAAGTTATTCATGAAGAGTATTTAGAAGACTTCTAATGTTAGATATTTGTATAATTCTTATTTTTCAATGTATGTGTGGGCCAAGGAAGTGGTTAATTGATACATGAACCTCAAATGCTTTTAGGCAGATACCTATTAAAAGGTATACAAAATATAAATAGCAATGTATATTTTCAAAACCTTTAAATAAACACAAAGAATATATAGGTGTACATGTTATAATTTCAAAGTCAACACTATCACATAAGTTTTCCTTATCTAAATACGTACGAGTACTTCCTATTGCAAGACATGCACCTACAAACACATGGCCATGCACATAATCTTGCTATCTGCCACTTGCAAGAAAGTTAGAATATACAGTATTGTACATTGTTTCAACTTAAACCATATGGGGGAATTAATGAATATGACATTAAACAATTCTGATTTAAGAAATCAAAATACATAGAGATCATTATTCTATAGGTTAAAAACACTGAAGACTGATGGAAAGTTAAGATTTAAATTGCTCATCCCAGGGACCTTGAAGGATACAGAAGAGAACAGGACTAGCTGTAAACACTCAGAATGTTCAGTCTGGCAATAGGGAACAGAACTTTTGTAATCTAGCAGTACAGACTACAGACTTAAAGCGTTGGTGCTTCAGACTGGAGAGAAATGGTACAGCTGGGGGCAGTTCTCCGCAAGGCAGGGGGTGCCGATGGAGATCTGGATGCCCATCTGGATGGGAGACGGCGATTTGCTGGCCTAGCAGGACGCAAAAATCCTTTTCCTTGGGTGGTTTTCACAGCCATGGATTCCTAGGACACAAAAGAAGGCATTACTCTCATTACATAGGCATTAACAATGGGCTCATACATTATGGATCCTAAGTATGGGATTGATGTCTTAGGGAACTTATAAGCAAGAAAAACACTAAAAACTAAGCAAGGTATTTGTCTAATATTTGTAGGCTTGCATGTTTTTAATAAGAATTCCAATTTTAGTATGGAATATGGCATGAATTTTAATATAACTTATCTCTTTGTAGAACCAAGAGTCAAATATCCAAGTAAAATAACTTCAACATGATGGAACTACAGATGTTCAAGGGGATATTTATGGAAGAAACATTTCACTTGTCTCAGATCATTGACTCATTGACACTTTTAGAGATCATAAAGCAAAAGCACACAAACCAAATGACTTATCTGATCCTTTTTTAAAAACTCAGGATCACTGACTGTGCAACTATTTCACAAGAGCTTTACTTAGTATTTATTTATCCATTTATTTTTGTTAGTCCGTGTCTGCAACACATAATGTTTACACTCCTTGTGGGGAATTGGTGCGTGTACATAAAGTGTCTTAATTCTTTTTAAAAATTCCCTTTCCCTCCGCCCCCTTCCCTCCCCCATCTCTTCATCCCCTTCCTATTTGAGGAAGATCTCTCTCCCTACTTTTTATTATCTTTTATTTTGCTCCTTGTTTATATTTTGGGTTTCTCATACAAGACAAACCATGTGATATTTAAGATTATGTGTCCGATTTATGTCACTTAGTATTAGATCTCAAGGTGCATTTTCCTACAAATGGCTCATTTTATCTTTCTTTATGACAGAGTAGAACTCCACTGCAGATAAATACCACATTTTCTTTATCCATTCATCTGTCTATAAGAATATAGGCTGCTTCCATGATTTAGCTATTATGGATTATGCTGTTATAAACATGGGTGTGTGTGGATCACTGTAATGCCACATCTTTAACTCTTTTGGAAAGATACCTAGTAGGAGAATAGGTGGTCAAATTATCATTAAAACTATTTTTGTGTTTTTGGTGCTGAGGATCAAAATCAGCACCTCATTCACACTAGGCAGGTGTTCTACCTTAAACTACACCCAAAGCCCTAAAATGCTTTAAATACAATTTAAAATACATACTATATTATGTATAATTAGGATTTTTGTGACACTGCCTAACAATAACAATATAACATCTTGGAAGTTTTTGTAAGTGCTATTCTTAAAAACTTACATGCACAAAAAGAGTTTATAACTCTACATTATAAATGTCAATTTCTTTGACCTCTTTTTCTCCTATACTTAATGAAGATTGCATTTTTTTTTAATGGACAGGATAAAAAAAGGATAATAATTTATTTAAATACTATTTTTTGGCTATTTCCAAGCTAAGGATATAGGCAAATAAGAATAACCTTTTTCTATACACTGTCTTTTAGTTCCACAGATAAGAGAACTTTATTAGGTACTGTTTTAAATGATGTGTTTCACCAATATTTATATTTATGTGACAAATCCTATGAGAACATGAATTAAATGCTAAGTATGACTGAACCAGACATATTTAATAACTACAAAGTCAAAGTTATTTTAAGAAATATTTTCCATATCCTTAAAAAATAAACCTTTAAGGGATAAAATTATGTAAATCCATAAGTATACATTCTGAATTAAAAAAATAAACTGTAGGCTTTTGATCTTCTCAAAGTTCTCAAATCCACTTACTATATTAGTGTCATTTATTCATTTTTTAAAGTTATAATGTGCTGGTCTAAGTCTTGAAAACTACATGTTGAGTTACGCTTATTCACAAAAGATGGAGAAGCTAAGAAGATGCTGACACACGTGTCTACGTTCTATTGATACCAATGGGCAACTGACCCAAACGCAGAACCTGTGTGAAACACAGATGAGCCCTCCCACAGGATGTAGCCTGCTTTCTTACCTCTGTCTCCTTTTTCCGATCCATTCCTTGTTTCACTTGCTGTCCTCTGCACAAGACCATCCTTGGCTGAAACTCTTGTTCCATTTGAAGGCCTTCTGAATGCTGACCCGACGTAGTGCCACCACTGACATCACCGTCCCATTTGGTCCAATTTTCCTGCACGCATTTAGAATTCTGCGATGCAGGACCTGTTGATGTCTCATACGTTTTCAGCAGCTTTTCCACAACACCATAATTTGACCTGGGATCAGCGGATCTTGGTCGGCCAGATAAATCACTTGGTCTCCAGTCTCGCTCATGAAGCATATTCTGGTAACTGCCAGGATTTATGCGTTCCTGCATTTGTCTGACCAGGCCAGTTGTGGATTTCTTGGTGGGATTATCAGGCACATTTTCCGTGGGTTCAGGCACACGGGCACTGGTTTTCAGATTATCAGTCACACTGTCACCTGCTGATATGCCACCTACAGGAGTTGTTAAGGAATCACAGTGCTTACTGTCTTCAGATGAATGTGAGTAGCTTCGATTTTGCTGTACTGAATTGCAATTTCTGTCTGTTCTAAATACAGCTCTGTTAAACTCATCAGTCTTTGTTGCCAGCTTCTCATTCCTTGTAGTCCTTTCAAAGCCACAACAGAAACTTCTAAGTGGGCCACTGCTCTGTGCCACCAAGGAACAACTGTCGTTGCTCACGTGAAGAGCAGGATGAGATTTAGTAGGGTGACCTGGAGCCACCTTTTCAAACTGTGGCTGGTTAGGAGAGGAGCAGGTCTTCTGGAACCACAGAGCAGAGGGGCTCTTTGTGGCCTCTATCGCAACCCTGCATGGGCTCATGCCAAGTCTGACGCTGCCTGGAGGTTTGCTATCTATTTGGATTTCTGGTATCAAAGAGGAAAACATGACACTATCTTCCGAAGTCTTTCCCTCACCTGGACCCAATGTAGGTATCTCACGCTGCCTGGAAAGAAAAGGAGGATTGAAGCTCCTTTCCTCTTGACCCCCATGGGCCACCCAGCTGTTGTGGTCTGCAGTTTCCTTCAGCTGTTCTTGGGCTTGTTCAGAACAGGAGCTGGGGAAATTCCGAGAACTGCTTCTTGGAGGAGGGATGGGTGGGGTTCCTTGTCTTTGCAAATCAATGGCACCAATCACACAACTTTCCACAGAGTCGTGTTGGGGCACACTGGTACAGCTCAGGTTCTTTTTATTTTTCTGTTTCTGTTTTTCTAAACTGATTGGAAAAATGCACTGGTCTTTGCTGATCAAGTGGTTCCCCTGAGGTGCACTGATTGCATCTGGCATTTCCTGGAGAAAAGAGTCTGACTTCATCCTAGATGAAGGCAGGATACATTAGTGATAGCTTTATGTAGGATGAGCTCCTAAAAGAAACACGAGTTTCTGCTGTAGGAAAGTCACCATTTTCTCAAGTGCAATTTTTATGTAAATTTCTTCCTCAAAAACTTCAAGACTCTTTTATTGTGGTTCAGAGCCAACACTTAGTGTTACAAGACTGTACGCACTCTGCCTGACCCAAGCGATCCTTCCAACCTTTACCATTTTCCCTGTTTCTTGAAACTTCAGAGTAAACTGACTGAACAACGTCAACTCTTGAGTTTCTGCTATTGAATTCCCATTTCTATAGCTCTTCTCCTGCCATTTCCTTACCTCCTCTTTGCCTTTGGAATTCCTACTCATCTGGTAACTGGAGCTCAATTTTCTCCTCTTGAATTTGAAATAACAAGTTAGTAAGAAATCTGAATAAAAGTGCAATAAGACATAAGTAATTCAAAATGAAGGTGTTATTTGAGCTTAAAAGAAAACCAAGAATTTTTTTTTGAATGAGTCCAGTAAAGGGCATATAGGCAGAGGGAGCTGTGAACAAAATATCGAGGCCATTCAAGAAACAATGAGTATCTGATACGGGTAGATTGAAAGCAGAGTGCGGTGAACAATGAAAAATGTGCAAAGTTGTGTCAAAGTGTGATGTCTTGGGAAAAAATTGCAATGTCTTTGAATCATGCATGGAAGATTTTGAACTTTTTTCTAAAGGCCAGTGGGTGACAATGTGAGTCTTGAACAAGGTGTTACTTGTAAACAAAAACTGGAAAATTAGTCTTTTTCTGAGCTATTTAAGTAAAATCCTCAAATATAGCATGAGTGTGGGTTCACAAATCAAACTTAATCTTATCAATAAATGTAGGTCATTTATACCTACTCCACTATTAAATGATTATCTTACAATAAAGTGAGTGGAGATAAATACCCACTGTCAGAATAGTAGGAGAAGCTAAATGGGCCAGTGGAGAGCAGAACTATGTATAAAATACAGCTGGATTAGAAAATCTATTCCAAGTCTGCACAAAAACTCTCTGCAAGCTTCCCAGGAGCTAAGGAAAAATAAGGGAGCACACTTTTGTTGCTTCTAAGAGGAGCATATGGCTCTTCCAGGAGAGAAATGATATCAGAATAACCCATCTTTGTTGGTCACGTAGAGACTTTTAATTTATACTTTGACTAAAACTCACTCTCACAGTTATACTGTTTCTGAACTGAAATAGCATTTCTATGACATGTGTATGTGTAAACATATTTATCATATTTTATTCTGAAAATTACATGTGTCTTTCTCTGTCAATACTAATTGTAGAGAAATAATGACTCCTAGAGGTAAAATGTTTCAGTAGAACATCAAATATAATTATCATGCCACATTCTTCATTTCTGACATAGTTTCCAGATGTATTTAACAGGGTAAGTCCACTTGTATACTCTTCCATTGGCCAAATACTCAAAATGAAAGAGAACTATACTGGATATGGTACATACACAAAATGGAATATTATTCAGCAATGAAGAATAAAATTTTGTCATTTGCAGCAAAGTGAATGGACCCAGCAGAGATCATATTAAGCCACATAAACAAGACACAGAAAGACAAGTATCGTGTTACAAGTATCATACCTTCTCTCTTACGTGCTGAAAGAAACAGAAAGTAGAAGAGGGTTCATAGGCATGGGGAGGGTGCAGAGAGGACAGGAGGAGAGTGGATGGACATGGTCAAGGCACTCTGCAGGCGCAGACGGAAGTATCACTGAGAATATGACTAATTTGCACAATTACTGTGTCAGTAATTTTAGCAATAATTCCAAATTTTCCTTCCAGAGAGTCAACTGTGCAAACATTATATGCGGAGCACAGTTTTCTCACTTAAAAATAAATAAAATTAAAAAGAATTATAAAAGAGGGCATTTCTTAATTTTTTATGGAAGGTTTAGCTAACTACCAGGAGAATAAAGTGCTCCTAATAGTCAAACTGTAAAAAGAATTTAAACATTTGTTTTAAGAATTAGTGAACAGAAAAATACACAATATCTACCACTATCCAATGCATGCATTTTACTAACTCATTAATTCGCACTAATAAAAGGTAAGGAGGAGGCAAATAATACTGATCTGATTTTCTACAAGAACATCGGCCCTGGAGGCCCCAGCTCACCTTCTGTGGTTAGACCGCTTTCGAATTTCCTCCTGAAAGCTGTACAGTTCTTCACTAACTCTGGCAAGTTCTTCAAGAGCCTTTGTACAGAGACAGAGCAGGTTAGCACCCTGAAACCTAACGTCCTGGGGCAGTTTGCAGTCGGGCTCCCTTACTCACTGTGTTGAGGGCCCCAGAGCAGTCCTTCCTCTCCTCCTCCTCCTCTGAAGTCCTGCAGCCCGGCCCGGCCTCACACTCCTTTTGTTTGTCTGTGGCCAATGGATCCATGAACCCCACTTTTGACTTTTTGGTTGATTTCTGTTCCTGACATCCTGCATTTTCTTCACCAAGTAAGCTCTGCACTGCGCCGTGCTTCGCTGTCAGAGTGCTGCTGGGAGCCCTGTCTGTAAATTCACATTGCCCTGAGCTGGGCTCGCTGGGGAACGACGCCCGCATTTCATCTCCAGAACCCGTCTCCGGGTGGAGACCGATGACCTTGGCACGCTCACTCCTGTGGAGTTTCCTCCGAAGCTTTACTTCCTGGCAAAGCTGCGGGAAAACAAAGTTAAAACTCTTCTGCCCTAGCTGACTTGGACAGTACTTTTTATAACAAAGCAAATCACTTTGAGCTCTCTTTGCCGTGTTACCATATACTATCCCAACCCCAAAGGAAACCTTGGATTAGCCTGGATTACGCATGGATTAGCTGCAACCACCTTGCAGAACCATAAAGACTGTGCTTAGTAGGGCAGCACATGGATGCTAAGTTCTGTCTTCTGGACGGAAGATCAACTCAGTGAAAAATAAGAGCAGCCTGTGTCTCTACATACAGACGCAGAACCACTGTCACAAAATCAGAAAGACCTGCGTCAATTCATGCCATGCTCTCCAATAGCTTCAGAAAGAACCAGGAGTTTAACTAACAATACCAGCATGCACTTTAAACATACAACCTTATGTATATACCAACATTTAACTGTGTAAATAGCAGATAATCTCACATAGTAAGTCAATTCATTCTGCTCCCTAAATAAGCACTTGGTCATCAAAAAATGTTTCCTTTGGTTGGTCACTTACATTGGAGAGGGCTACAGATTACCGAGATGTTTCTAATGCCAAGTACATACATGTTTTAAAAAATGGTTCCCATTCAGGCTAAAACAAATGTGACAACTGAGGCCTAAGGCTTCAATTGTCTATTTATCTGTGCTAAATTATTACTTGGTGAGATATGCCTGCAGAAATTCAGCTCACTCCTACACAGAGGGAGGAGAGTGGCCTTCTCTTTAGGCTTGGGTTTTGGGAAAGCTTGTCAACTTTGCAGAGAATCTGTCAGATAAATATTAACACAACTGACTGCACTTCACAGCCAAAGTCAGTATCTGCATAACATGCATTGCTATGCAAGGAATATAAGGACAAATATATTACAGCTTAATATGTACCTAAAACTCAGTGGAAAAAAGCATTAAACACAATTGATGGCCGAAAGATACACGGTGATTTATTTTCTTAATACTTTTGAATTTATGAGTTGTCATTGCATAAGGTCAGGACAGCATCAAACAACAGCTGTGAATCAATTGTTTTAGTCTCTGTAAAATTATTTATTCTGGGCTGCTGAACTAGATAAGGCTTGGGTTCATGATGAGGAATATTTTAAAAAGCAGCTCTACAAAGTGGCATGTTAAATCTAAGGGTGCTGTTGGTGATGTTGCCCTATTTTGGAAAAGTCATGGGTGAAAATAAAATAGTTTTGGTTTCAGAAGGGGGAAAAGTGCTATTCCTGGGAAATAGGTTTGCTTTTGTCTTTGAATATTGAGAAATATGCACTTGATAGTTTTTGTGTTAGTCACTAGAAAGAATCGTTGCTGCATTAAACATACAATCATGTTTGTGGTCTCCAACTGAAATTTCTATTTTTGTACTGCATACTTTACCTTATGTGTGCTTTCACTCCATCATAAATTGTCTTGGCTATTTAGGTGGGAATGAATAAACAGACAATTCAAGGCAATGGATGGAAGACCATTTATTTTGCACAAGGGAATCTGTCTAACTTGGTGCTCAGCCCTGGTCAGCGGTTATCTGACCATTCCACCAAAGGCGACAAGGAGAAAACACTGCAATCTGAAACCAGGACTTTTTTCTCCAGATGTCTATGAACTGCAAATAGTGTCCAAATCATCCAGACTCTATATTTGGATTATTCTAAGTTTCAAACGATCTGAGTATGTACATCTTGATTTTTTTCATAGTAAGTGCAGTGACTATGGAGAGTGACTGAAAAGAGAATCATGAGCATCCAGAGCCGAGAGCCACATGTGCCTTTTAGGTGATGTCACCATTTAAAGTCACTGAAATTATATGTGCGTGCCTGGAGTCTATCATTCTCTGGCACATGGGTTAAAACTTTGCTTCTGATTTAATACACAGAACATAGTGGTATACATGAAACAAATACAGTCTCTCACATTTGTGGAATGATACAGTTTTTCTAGGAATCAACTATTGATTTTCTCTTTTTTTGGTACCGGGATCGAACTTGGGACCTTGCGCTTGAGCAGCAGGCGGTGGAACCACTGAGCTAAATCCCCAGCCCAGTATTGATTTTCTAATTTTAACTTTAGAAAATTTCTTTGATTCTCTGTGATACGAGAAAATACCTTCTTCCTGGTTTTTTCAATGTCTGTACTGCAGCTATGCAGCCTGCAGGAAGGCACCTTTCACCCCCCACCCCATACACACACTGCCAGTGTTCACTTACTGAGAAATATAATCTATGGAAATTTTGCATAAATGCATTATCTATACATACTTCCAACTATGTAGCTGTCTACCAAGGCAGCAAGACGTAATGATAACATAACAGCTACTCTCCAAGATGCCAAAAAATGTACTGCAGCCCCTTCTGGCTTCCTGATGCAGGAAGGGCCAGTATATCTCTATCAATTAAAATCCTTTTGAAAGCATGTCTACTACCTGGTAGTTGATAAGGCTAATACTTACCACATATAGTGTCTACAGTTGGCAGAATAATTATTGAACAACAGCAAATTTAACCAATCAGCAGATTATTTTAGCTACATGGCTGACTAATAGACTAGACCAATCCTGCACCAGTTAATTATTTTGTTGGATGCTAAAATTGTCTGAGATTGTTACCACCTGAACCTCCCAAACCTTTGGGAACCAAAGATCCACGACTAAGTCAGTTTATGACTGAATTAAAGTTTTAGGGTCTGATATAACAAAGGCATCTCCTTATTGACCCTATCTGAGCCTCTGGGGAGAGAGGGAGTTAAAGGGACAAGCAGAACATGTTTTCCGATCTATGAAAGGACAAGAAGTGGATCTGTCATTTAATCTCTGATCATACACCATAGGCCGGCCTTCTCTTATTTTTCATTTTGGCCGGCAAATAGGTCAATTTTTATTTTCTTCACAAACAGCAACCTGATTGTCAATACAAAAAAATGTTTCCATTATAAACATTTCAAGTATTTACTTTTATTGCCTGCAAATAAGGCCAAGGAATCTGTTATTATAGCTGCTTTGGTAAGGGGCATAAAGCCATATGAGTCAATGTTGTGGAGTTACCAGAATAAAGCAAGGTAAGTATAAATATCCTCCAGCTGAAGCAAGTCTGAATACACACCAGTGCAAATGCTTGAAGAAAATAGTCTAGGTCTAACAGGCTAAGTGATAGCAAAAGTTCCCTTACAAAGACTGTATCAGAGTTGTAGCATGCCATTTTTCATAATTCCCTTCCTAATAAATGTAGTGTCCTTTACTAGAAAAAAATCTCATGTTCCCTGCCATTTTGTTTGATATATCATGCTTCTTTTGATTATATTGAGCTATCTACTGTGTCATTTCCTTTGCTACACATTACTTATAAATTTCAGGAAATCTATATTCTAATGCCCAATTATAATTTTTCTGATATATTTTCCACCAATTATGTATTTCTTCCATTTGAACTCACAGGCCCTGGTCTTTACAAACATATGCAGAATGCAGACAACACTTGACACCAATCCTCTCCGTCCTGAAAATAATACACGCATGCATTCTCTAGTGACTTGTCAAGGTCTTGACCTTCATGCAATGCTATAAAATGGGCATGGTCCCTAAGATGCCACTGTGTAAGGTTATGTTATGCTGGTCTAGTAAATGTCACTGAGTCATGTATCTGTTCATGCAGAATAAAGAACATAAAAATAGTTTCCAATATAAAACAAACATCAACAGAATTCTCATTCTGAGTTTGAACTTTACGATATATTCAAAAATAAATCAACCTGTACCTCTTCTATCTTCTTCTGCATGATTTTCCATTGACTTTCCCATTCCTTCCTTTCATTGTCGAACTGGTCCAGTAATTCCATCTTTTCCTTATGCCAGTTAGTCTCTGTATCCCCCCACTGCTTTTGCAGGTCCATGGCAGCTGTGTGAGGAGTGTCAGCAAAGAAGTGTTTCTGCTTGTCTCTTTCTCGTCACTGTTTCTTGGAAGCTTGGAGTTGTTTTATTTGAAGCAGTTTCACTTGCCTTTAAAATAAAGCCTAATGTAAACATAAGAGAGAGCTCCACATTCGTGTGCTTTCTGAAAACATATTTAGTCATTTTGTCATGAGCTGCTGACATAAACTATAGGAAAACTGTATTCAAAAGAAGAGAGGAGATAACAACAATCTGCTTAAGGAGAAACCAACATAGTCAATCAAGTAATCTCTGTTGTCTTAAGTTATTTTCCCTTTTGGAGACAAGCCTGCAAAAGTTATAGTGGATAAGATGCTTAAATGCACTTATATGTGACATGTAAGTATGCCTTTAACTACCTACCTAATTTAAAAATAGAGTATGTTATGGATATCTAAAAGTTAAGCATGAAATTCAACTGTACGGTCATTTCTATGAGACTGAATAACTTCTTCTGCTCTGAGGCAGGGCTGGCCTAGAGTCTCAATTCTGTCCTTGGAGAGCAAACCCACACCAAATGTGATTCCTTCCCCAGCCAGAACCCCAAGTTAGGAGTCAACTTGGGAGAAGGCTGTTTGGCAAGAAACCAATATACACCATCAGAAATCATTATTTTACTCCATCTAGTAAAATCTAAATTCATTGAAACTATCTTGTTAGACATATCTTAGAATTTATTAATGCTCTATTTTCCTTCCAATGACAATATATGAATGATAACTTGTTTAGGATATTAAATGGAAAGAATTAAAGAAAAATTTTCATTTAATTTTCAGAGAATCTTCTTTCTGTGGTGACTGAAATAATGAGATTGTTAACATTCGGGGTCTGAATATTTAGGGTTTGAAGATACAAGTTAAAACATCAGATATGTAATTCTTTTATAAGCCATTGAATTCACAGAATAGTTATAAACATTAAATGACATACTGAATGCAAATAAGTGGGAGACATTTTTAATTTTCCTTTTTGAAACAAGGTCTCACTCTGTAATTCAGGCTGGCCTTGAACTCACTACGTAGCCCAGGCTGGTCAGGAACTTACAGAGATCCTCCTGCCTCAGCCTTCCAAGTGCTGGGATTACAGCCATGTGGTACCATGCTTGGCTGATTTTTTCCTATTTTTTGGCTTTAAAATCTTGCTTTGACTTAAACTGAAAATAATTTTTAGTAAGAAAGTCATATGTCTTTTTAGTGGATAGAAAAGCATATTTAAAAATGCATAAACCTGTTTAAAATAATTGTGCCCATAAGAAATCGAGGACTGGAGATGCAGCTCAGTGGCAGCACGGGTGCTTAGCATGTGCAAGATCCTGTGTTCAATCCCTAGTACCAGGAAAAAAAATCCAATTCTTCAGTAGCTAAGGGGTTACCAAAATACCATAGCTTACCAATATCCACCTATGTTAATTATGGATGAAGTTTCCAATAAGCAATATACTATGAGTGCTGGTATTGCAAAATTAAGCCTATATAAACATGCAGTGAGCAGAGTTTTGCAGTCACAGGATATGGAAGCATCCCATATCCCCCAAAATTATATATACATCATCAAAAATGAATCTTACTTTGGGAAACTGTTCTGAACATACATATTGGGATGAGAAACAGTTTTGAACACACACACACATATGTATATTTCTGAACTACAGTCTATCAATGAATTACAAGCTTAATGAGCATTTAAAAGTGTACTTCTATGCATAGGGCTCCACCTTCAGAAACGCTAATAATATTGAGATCAACATAAGTTGAGTTTGGCTCTTGGCAGATGAGCACAGAGCTGTTTGCTCTGTCAAACTATTTGCTAAAGATACTTCGGTAATTTTTACCTACTTTTTTGCACTCACAATATCATGATTAATTCAAGAAAATAAGTAGTTCCAAACTTACCTATAAAGATGCTATTGTGTCTTATTTTATTCTCTTATCCATGTTTATTTCTACCTTCATTTTCTCTCCCCTCTGTCATCCTTTCTTTGGGTCCCATCCACCCTTAAAATCCAGTAAGCATAAGTACTTGCCATAATAAATGTCTACGAAGGCCTAACAAAATGAAGATAGTAAAAAATTTACAGAATTTTGGTTTTTCTTTTTTTCGGTTAGTCTTAACTTTCACTGATCCTGATTACCTAGTAATCTTTTAGGTTCATCTAACAACCAGCCCCAGGATGTGCAGCCTGTGGTTATTTAGAGACTGGCAGACTACTTTAAAACTACATGTAACTGTGAGCCGAAGCTGTCTTGCTGACTTAGAAGCCATTTGCTAGTGGAATTTCTTAAGAAGAGTGAAATAGTTTGAAATATCAAGAGATAGCCACAGATTTAACCAAAGAAACTATACAAAGGGAGCACACTAATTACAAGATTCTTGGATAACAGATGCTATGATAGTCCTCGTCTTATGCCAACTGTCTTTAAACACTGGAAATGTTCAGAAATCATCATCACAGTTTTCCGATAATTATGGAGCAAATGATTCCAATTTTGCTTTCTATTCCCAATTTTTCTTGAACCACTTCTATATCAGTTTGAAAAGACCCAGAACCTCTCCTTTTTACCCACTAGACGACCATCCAAAACCATTCTGAATAAGTCTTGCTTCTGGTAAGAGGATGTTGTCTGAGCCCAGGTAAGGATCCTCGAATCCCATGCTGATCTGCAAAGAGCCAAACTCTTCCCTTACTCTGGAGAAGGGCCAAGGCACAGAGCTTCCCTCTCCAGGGCAGTTCCTAAACCAGAAAATGTAATGGTTGTGGATCAAAGGAAGGCCTTGCAAGAAAATGTCTAGAGCACTACCTATGCCAACTTTTGTGGGAGGATTTAGTTAACTTTCCTAGCATCTCAGTCTTGTCATAAATATAAATATCAAGTGTAATAAAGTTGAATATATTACTTCCTTTTGTAAAAATAAAGGGAAACAGAATTGTCTAGAACTTTCAGTGAGAGGATGCTTTAAAAAAGCACCTAAACTGGATCAGAATGAAGGCTTGACGAAGGCTTGCTTCTGTCTTTCTCTACCTCCTTCTTTCTTCTCTTCCTTTCCTCCCTCTCTTCATCTGTATCCTTTTGCTTTATTTGGAGTTAAATTGATTCATCTTTATTTAATCAGAAAATGGAAAGAAGCAAGTCTAATGGTGTAAATGCTCCTCTTCTCCACGATTTTTCTTTGCCTTAGTGTTTTTCAAGTATTTTTCAGGACACGTGTAACGTTAACTATTTAGGAAAAAAATTTTGTTAGTAAAATATTAAATGTAAATCTTACATAAGTTGCTTTTGTTATGATTCTAAATTAAATCCTAAAAAATCAAACTCTGCAGGGATAGAATGTTCTGTGACGAGACGTTACGGGGTGAACGCATCTGCAGATTTAAAAGCTCAGTTTTAGTGTCTCCACTGAGGAAAGTATAAACGTTCTCTTTGTTCCTGTCACTCTTCCGCCCACAGAGCTCGACATCCATGAGGGAGAGAAGGAAGGATTTTTGTGTTCCTCCCCCAAATATCCCTTTGCTCTCCATTTCATCTGACTCCTTCCAGAATTTCATTCAGAATTAAAATTTATGAGCGCAAATGCACAAAGGGCGAGCTCCATTCCTCAGTCATGTTCTTCCCCAGCAACTCTAAGCTAGCATTACATAATCCCTCTTAACCGACCTCTCTTTCCCAGGGCCAGGGGCCAAGACTGTAAAAAGTTGTGAGTGAGGCCCATGTCTGCTCACCCTTTAGCCCCATCAGGAAGGGAACGGAAGGCTAACACAGGAGCCCCAGCATAAATGGCGGTCAGGCCCGAATATGCCTCCCTTGGGTCATGGTGGCACTTCCGTCCTCCCCTCCTATGTGCTCAGTGACAACCATTTCAACATCCATCTCACTCACCAGAAACAGGATTTCAGACCAACAGGCTCAATAGTCTTCAAAGCAGTTACTGCATGGCTACTTCTCTCTTTGGAGGTTTCTGTTCAGTTTCGTGTTTTTGTGCTCTTCTATTTCTTTTTTCGAAACAGTCTACTTTTCATATCACTGGAAATTTTTCATTTATAAGAAGTCGCATACTCCCTAGGAATGCTATATACAGCAGACACTGCCAATCTCACAATTCCTAGAAGAAATCCGCTGGCTCGAAGATGCTTTGTTTCTTACCACTTTGCAGGATTAGGAATCCCCACGCCTGTACCTATCTGAGTAATGCACCATTTACTTCCAGAATTCTCTAGCCCCCTTTCCAGGCTACAATCAATCACGTGCCTCATTTCCCCTAATTTACAGATCCCTTTCTTCCTCTATTGTTCGGTAACCATGTCTTTCCAGAGACCTCCCTGACCTGACTTTGTTGCAGGGAAAAAGGAATTTTGCACAGGGTTGCTTTTTACTGCTATTTCAGCACATACTTCCTATTCCAAGGAGGTCAAAGAGACACAACCACTTGCAATTCCAAAGCAATCAACTTAGTTTCTCACATAATTACCATTTCTTTCCTTCTGGTCTCTCCAGTTATTTATTCCAACTAGAAAGCAGAAAAAACTAGAAACTAGAAGCTAGAGACACACCAATTTTACTTTTCTTAACTAATAAAATATAAGTGTTGATGAAAACTCTTGGCTCGGGTAAACGCAGGTAGAAAATCTCGAACAGCAAATATAAGTGATGAGACTTCCTCCTTATTGTAGATTAACCCATTCTGAATCGCTCAGATTTCAGTTTAAATTACAGAAACACTAATCCTCAATGCACACCGTCACCAACGAAACCACATTATTTTTCATTGTAACCTTCAAATACCAGCAGTCTCAAGGGTTGTGAACATTAATCTTCAAATATGAAAAGCCTTCATCCTAACACAAGCTACGCTCTAATAAATGTAGTGAGTGAAACCCCACGACGGGCAAAGTGCTTTTTCAGTGACTGAGAAGCAGTGTTTGAGAAACAGTCCCGGGAGGGGAGCGGATGGTACTCAGTCCCGGCTTGCAAATCCACCCTCAGCAGCTGAAAGGCCTCTCCCCAGGCAGCACCATCGGTTAGGCAGCCGCCCACTGTTCTGCAGCCCAGACCGACACCCGCACTAGCAGATGT